GATTTCTACAACTCTCTTGGAGATCGTGTCATAGCTGCAGGAGATTACAACGCCAAGCACACGCATTGGGGATCCCGCCTCGTGACCCCCAAGGGAAGACAACTGTATAACGCTCTCATCAATGTGAGAAATAAACTGGACTACGTTTCCCCTGGTAGCCCCACATATTGGCCAGCAGACCCCAGAAAGATACCTGATCTAATTGACTTCGCGGTGACAAAAAACATCCCACGCAATTTAATAAACGCCAAGGCCCTTCCGGACCATTCTTCAGATCACTCGCCGCTGTTAATAACCCTTCTTCAAAGCCCAGAAACTACGGATCGCCCCTACAGGCTGACGTCGCACAGAACCAATTGGATGAAATACAAAATGTATGTGAGTTCCCATTTTGGAAGAGGTACTTGTGACTGCAGCCAGGATCTCATCACCACAACAGACGGATGTGCAAAAAATCAAATTCAAAACGAACCAGCAAATTGAACAGCTTATCCAAGAAAAGAGGCGTCTGCGACGGGCGTGGCAAACCAATAGATCGCCAAGCACAAAGCAACGTCTAAATGAAGCCACACGCAAACTAAGCCGGGCCCTGAAGCAAGATGCCGAAAAAGCACAATTAAGATATATTGAGAAACTCTCGCCAACCAGCACAAAGCATCCCTTATGGAGAGCTCACCCAAATTTAAGTTCACCGACTGAAACCGTCACCCCGTACTAAGAAAGTCATCTGGTTGCTGGGCCCGCAGCGACAAAGACAGAGCCGAAACTTTTGCCTCACATCTCCAGGGCGTTTTCCAGCCGAACCATGCTGCAAATCAATTTGAACTACCTCTAATCCAAACTGAAACGGAATCTACTCCAGCATCATTTCGTCCGAACGAGATCACCAAGGTCATCAGGTAGCTGAGCCGAAAAAGGCTCCCGGCGATGACTTAATAACTCAAAAAATGATAATTGAACTTCCGAATTGTGCTATTGAGGTCATCTGTAAAATCTTCAATGGGATCATAAGTCTCTGCCATTACCCAACAAAATGGAAAAAATCTATAATTATAATGATACCGAAGCCCGCAAAAGACCACACGATTCCGTCATCTTACCGACCAATAGGTTTAATATCATGCTGGTCCAAGGTATTTGAAAAATGCGTACTAAAGCGCATAATTCCTTACCTGGGAGCTCACAACTTCATCTTAGCTCATCAATTTGGCTTCAGAGAAAAGCATGGAAATATAGAGCAAGTTAACAAAATAACATCAGAAATTCGCACAGCCTTCGAGCATCGAGAATATTGCAGCGCGATATTTCTAGATGTTTCTCAAGCATTCTACCGCGTCTTGCTCATCGGCCTCATGCACAAAATTAAAACACTTTTGCCGGTATACACGCACAAATTACTTGAGTCGTATCTCTACAACAGAGTCTTCGCAGAGAGGTGCAACGCAACAACATCCGACACTTATTCAATCGAAGCTAGAGTTCCACAAGGAAGCGCACTTGGGCTTACTTTATTTGTCCTATACACAGCGGATATCCCCACAAGCAACCAGCTAACATTATCCACATTCGCTGAGGACACTGCGATCCTCAGCCATTCCAGATGCCCAGTCCGTGCAACAACCCAGCTCGCCAACCACCTTAAGGTAGTCGAGAAGTTGCTATCTGACTGGCGTATCAAAATAAATGCACAAAAGTGTAAGCACATAACGTTCACTCTCAACAGACAACAGACGGAGGGCATCCGCTCTACCTGAACAGCACGCAGATCCCCGAAGTCAACGTGGTAACGTACCTGGGCATCCATCTGGACAGACGCCTAACATGGCGAAGACACATTGAATGCAAGTAAATTCATCTAAAACTAAAAGCCAGCAGCCTCCACTGGCTCATAAACTCCCGATCGCCCCTGTGTCTGGACTACAAGGTCCTGCTCTACAACTCCCAGCTCTGGGGGAACGCGTGCAGCACCAATCTAGACATCATACAGCGCGCCCAATCAAAAATCCTGGGAAGTATCACCGGGGCACCATGGTATATTCGCAATAAAAACATCCACAGGGATCTCGGCATTCCTGCAGTTAAGAACGAAATAAAAAAACAAAAAGCGTCCTACAAGGAAAAACTCTCTACCCATCCAAATCCTCTAGCAAGGGACTTGATACGGGTTTCCAGAAGAAGCGGCCTGTGGGAGTAAGACCTCAAAGGCCGGCGCAAAGCACTTCGACCACAGGTGTCACTGCAGTGCCAAAAAACTAAATACTTCCCAGGTGATTGCGTTTACTGAAACCTAGTTAGAGCCGGAGATTCAGTGCTCCGAAAATTACCCAGCTAAGTACACAATTTATAGATTGGACCTTCATTCCCAGCAAGGAGGTTGAGTTTTAATTACCGTTGACTCCAGCCTTATCTCCAAACAAATCAAAAATGACGATCTCACAGGTATTGACTTTATCTGTGTTAAACTATCATTTCCAGGTAGTTTCATCTATAGAACCTGTTCTTACGTTCCTCCATCTGCTGAAGAGCCTATTTATTGGAATCACCTTTCGGCAATTCAGGCTATTTCCAACATGCTTTCAGATACAGACCAACAAATAACTCTAGGAGACTTCAATATACCTGGAGCTTGTTGGTCATAAGATGGTACGTCCAATGTCCTCCAAACTGCGGCACAGCATGACCTCATAGATGGCTTGCATGACATTTCTTTGTCTCAAGTTAATCATGTCTTAAATTCTTTAAATCGCTTACTAGATCTGTGTTTCATCTCTGATCCTGTAAACTTACTGGTGTAAACTTAACAAGAGTTGATCCATTGACGTTTTCATCGTGTCCATCGATACGGGAACTGTCGTAGAGAATAAATCTGATCGCTTAGCTAATAAAGTTCGCTGCTTTCGTAAAGCAAACGTTTAAAGGCTAAATATTTTAATTTCCGGATTTAATTGGTCCGATCTATACATGTGTACTTACATGGCATCCGCCTTGGATATTTTTTACAGTCAATTCGTTCTGTTTAACGTGTGTTTTGTTAACCAATCCGTCGGTTTTTCGTAAACCTAAAAAATATTAAGTCTAGGCTTTATAATATTATAAACGTTCCGGTTCTCTTACTGCTCTTTCTAGTAATCTTAGCGCTCGGTCAAACTTTACCGTGGTCAACGCGCAGTGTTATAAGATTTATTTAACTCGCTGTAGGGTCAAGATCACGCATGACCCGAAACAGTTTTATAACTTTGTTAATACTAAACGTAAACCCAATTTATATCCTTCCCCGCTTTCATTTAATAACAATACAACAAACTCTGATCAGGCCATTTCCGAACTTTTTGCCGACTTTTCCAAAACTACTTATTCTTCCTCAAATAGTTTAGATCAGACTTACTCTTTTGATTTGCCCAGGTCGAACCTAATTTTCAGTCGTATTTTAAACGAAAGCTCCCTTAGTTTGGATCTTCATCGTGTAAACCCAGTTTATTCACCAGGTCCCGATGGAATACCAGGCTGCGTGCTCAGGTATTGTGCCAGGGCTCTGTGCAAACCCCTTCTGAAATTGTGTACCGTATCTTTAAAAACCTCAGAATTTTCCCTTATTCGGAAAGAATCATTTATCATTCCTCTCCACTAAAAAGGTAGCAAATCGGACGCATGCAACTTTAGAGGAATCTCTAAGTTGTCGGCAATTCCAAAACTTTTCGAGAATGTAATCACTCCTTACTTGCAGCATTTATGCAGATTCGTAATTTCTCCATGTCAGCATGGATCGACCACTATAAATCTCCTGGAACTCACCTCTTTTGTTATTAGGTGTTCCAACGTAACTTTCAAACCGATGTGATTTACTCAGACTTCAGTAAAGCTTTTGACCCGGTTATTCACTCTCTTCTTGTAAAGAAGCTTGACTTAATCAGGTTTCCGTCGATCTTCTTAAATGGATTTTGAGTTATTTGAGTGACAGATCTCAAAAGGTTCTGTTTAAAAATGCTCTATCCTAATTCCTTAGTGTCACATCTGGCGTCCCACAAGGTAGCCAGCTCGTCCCGCTGCTATATACTTTGTTTATCAATGACCTCCCGCTGGTTCTAACGAACTCTAGAGTACTTATGTACGCTGATGACGTTAAACTATGCCTGCAGTGTAAGGACAGCTCTGGCCAGTCAGACCTGCAATCGGATCTTAATAACTTTCAAGCATGGTGTCGTGCTAACTTATTACATCTCAAAAGCTTCAAATGCAAACTGATGACATTGGAGTATAGTTCATGCGTCTGGAGTCCTCAATTTGGAGTCCATATTAACCGTATTGAATCTGTTCAAAAGAACTTTTTATTTTTCGCCCTCCGTAGCCTACCCTGGGATGCTGACTTAAGATTTCCGTCTTATTCTAGCAGACTTCTATTAATTTACTTAACCGTAGAACGATGCTTGGTGTCGTATTTCTTAATAAGCGGTGATGTTGAAAGCCCCAATCTGCTAGGGCAGCTCAATTTCCACGTTCCTCGACTTACGTCTGGAACCCATATCCCATTAGTATTAAATAACTGTTGGCACGAATCCATTGTGATTCACAAAACAGGCCTACAGGATTTTGTTAAAAGAATAGTTCACCAATCAAGATAAAAGATCAACCATGTGGTTTTTTTTGGACACTATGAACTGTAAAGTTTAAAATTAAATGGCATATCTGTGCTGATTCTTTGATCACGTGGTAAGTGCAACAAGAAACATTAAGTATTAAGAAAAAACTGTATTTTTCTGAATCATTTACTTTTTTTCTTGCGAAAATCGGTCAGAAACCTTTTTAGGCTTTAATACAACTACTTGACTAAAATCATCCCATGGTTGAAGGGAGTTTACGATTCCATAAATTACATACATAACAATATTAATTTTTAATTAAAAAAAAGAATTATCTCATGATCTCTAAATTTAGAATACACCAATACAACACCAAAAACAAAGGATACAAAAATTATTAATAAAAACTTTCCGTGATTTCAGGGGTCACAATATTACTTTCCTAAGTGGCTTCCCTGCAGATTTTCACATTGAAGGTCTGAACGAGATAACTCCAGCTGGTTTAGTTGAATACATTCAAAACTATACCAATTGGGATTTACTTGGTTCACGAATGGCTGGAGATATGCCCATTAAGCCATGGGATGGTCTGAGATATGCATTCGAAGTAAGTTACATTCAACTAAATTCTATCTTTATAATTTGTTAATGAAAATAATATTTTTTAAATTTAAATATAGCTTATATATGCTCTTTCAAAATATTGCAACATAGTCTGGGCGTCATATTCAAATATAGGTGTTCTTCTGAATTCCAAATTTGTTAAATAAAATAAATTTAAATGTAAAATGTGACGAATGTTTTTAGGCGTGCAGATGTAAGTAGTTAGGGGACAGTAGGTCGCGCTGGTTCCTCCTCAAAATTAGGTCTGTAGTAGGAGGTGGGATTTGAAAAAAGGACTAATGCCCCTATTGCCCGTGTACATTCATTTGCAGTTTGCAATTGGATCAATGAGAATATTATAATATCATGGCGATCTTGCGGTTTTTGGCCCAGTTTTAACTTAATTTCAATTTCCGTCCACTTCGGATTGCATGTGAACGTAAAAAATAAACCAGTAGTTCCATTATTTCGCACGTACGTCATAACGTCTTGAGCGTATTCGTGCATGTGGCGCGGGCTTCCGGTATAAGATGATGGAAGAATCGTCAGTCCTAAGATCGTAGCTTTGCCTAATTGAATCGGATGAACGCTAAACGTTCGGTCTCAAGTTTGACATAAATGTCGACAGCGAATTGATTGAATAGCCAACGGCACTTCAGAATGACATTCTCCTCATGTGTACGAATCATCATACGATACGCATAGTAATTCGTTGCGCTTATTCTTATATTCGTTGATACGCCTGAAAATGCAAAATTAAATGAATTGATAGTGTGTAACGACCCTCTTTTGGGGTGCTCGGCCTAGCTCGCCGGAGTCGGGGTTCGTACAGAAAATTTGTAGTGTCCGAGTCCCTCGTGTCCCAATAATCAGTAAATAGGCAAGAGGGGAGAGGTAATTTTAATACAAGCTTTATTGATCAAGATATATAGTGAAACCTGTGGAAAAAATACAGTGTGGTTGCTGCTGTGGGGGTGTCTTGTTGATACCCTGGTTGCGGGTAGATCCGTGTCCCGGTCTTCGATGGTGCTCAGCCGGCTGGCTGACGATGATACCCGGTGGTGGGTGATGCGACACTGCGACTAGGGTCCAGTGGGTCGACTTGTTGTTCCCCTGCTCGGGCGATGCGACTGCTGATTGTCGGCGTGGCGATACCCTGTATCGGTGATGCGATCGTCGGTGATCGGCTTGTGAGTACCCTGTTCGGGTGATGCGACTGTCTCGTAGTCGGCTTGTGAATACCCTGTTCGGGCGATGCGACTGTATCGTAGTCGGCTTGTAAATACCCTGTTCGGGCGACGCGACTGTCTCGTGGTCGGCTTGTGAATACCCTGTTCGGGCGACGCGACTAGGGTGCGTGACCGTTGCGGCTGGCCGCTGTCGTGGTCACGGTAGGTGGGTCCGGGTGACGTCACTCGAGGTGAGCGATCGTTGTGCCTAAGCTCGCACCGTCCCTAACGCCTTTCTGCTACCCTGTAGCTATCAAGATCCGCCGGCAAGGGCCAGATCTTCTCCCCTCCTATGCTTGCTTGGCGAATGTGGCGAACCTCATTCGACGCCCTCCCCTATTCCTGATCTGCCATCCAAGGGCCAGGTCAGAACCCCAAGTCTATACTACCTGTACGGCGAGGTCATACGGACCGCGCTCGATACCCTGTTTCCGCGAGATCTGCCATGCAAGGGCCCGACCTCGTCCCACGGCTGACTATCTGTGCGAAGTCCGCCAACTAGGGCCAAACTCCGCTCCTCCCAGCTACTTCGTTAGATCCGCCTGCAGGGGGCCAGATCTAGACCTAACGCTACCTTCACCTTTCCTACCTTCTTTTCTATTAAGGTCCGCCGCCAGGGCCAAACCTTATTCTACTGCTAAAGCTAGGATTAGTACTACTTGTTAACTCACCAGTTGACTGCTCGGCTGCTCTGCAAAAGTGAAGTTGCACTGGCCGGTGCGTCGCTTTATATAGCCGGTCGACAGCTGTTCTCCCCCGATCGATAATCGATAATTCCCCGATGACCGATAGGCAGGGCGTTGCCAGATCGATCGTATCCATTCGATTATCGTCAGCTGTTCAGGGCTGGACGCGCTATTCCTTGGCCGGCGTTGCCACTACTATTCTTAATCTTATTTGAAAGCTTAATTCTTCTTATGGATTATATTTGTTGTTGCGACGTGGGTCGTCGCACTCCCCCTCCTTTGCCAGTTTAAATTTTCGAGGTGGTTCTGATGACTTCTCCTGCCAATCTAGCTGGGTTGACCCGTTATTGAATTTGACCATTGTGCTAGTGTTCTTGTGTGAGTGTATTTGTGTTATTAGGTTCGGTGTTGTCGAGTGCTATTCCCTGTTCTCCTAAGTATTTCTTCATGTTATTTACATATGCTCTTTGTGTCTTGCCCGACCCTACCTCTTTTACTACCGCTATTACTGGTGACTCTAGTTTTACGACCCTGAATGGACCCTCAAACTTCGGTGCGAGCTTGGCTGAAAACTTGTTGTAAGCTTTTGACAGTGGGTGTTGTCGAACCCACACCATGTCCCCCTTTTTCGGCTTCCATTCGCGTTTCCTCAGGTTATATGTTCTGGCTTGGTCCTGCGCTGCTCTTTCCATGTTCTTTCTTGCTAGCTCACATGTTTCCTTGATTCGTGCTATTCTTTCTTCCATGGTCTCCTCGTTTATCGCTGAGCCTTTTGTCGCTTCATCGAACAGACTTCCCGCCAGCCTCGGTTCTCTCCCGTATGTGAGGTATGCCGGGCTGTATCCAGTTGACTCCGACCGGCTGCTGTTAAATGCTAGTGTCAGCTCCGGTAGTACATCGTCCCATCGGTCGTGCCTTTCTCCCGCGAACTGTGCGATCATGGTTTTTATTGTTCGGTTCGCACGTTCTGTCGGGTTTTCTTGCGGTGTATATGGAGCCGTGAATTGCTGGTGTACTCCCCACTTTGACATCTGCATTCTGAATTTGTGGCTTGTGAACTGCACTCCGTTATCTGAGATTAACACCTTTGGAGCCCCGGTGCGTGCCAGTATTTTCTCTCGGAACGTTTTGAGGACTGCGTCTGTGGTCGCTTTCCGTATTGCTGTCAGCTCTACCCATTTTGAGAACTTGTCAATGAATACTAGTAGCATATTGTTGCCGTGACTTGATCTAGGTAATGGGCCCACGAAATCGACGCATAGTGTTTCGCCCGGTGCCTCCGCTATCCGTGTGAGCATTCTTCCGGACGCCTGCTGTTGTGACACCTTGTACTGTTGACATGTCGTGCATCGGTCGATATAATTCTTGACTTCCCGATGCATTCCTGGCCAGTAGTATCGCGTAGCAATCCTGTGCTTGGTCTTTCTTACTCCCAGGTGTCCTGCCGTTGCTGTTTTGTGGTTTTCTTCCAATACTCTCGCTCGTTGGTGTTTGCCTACGCAGAGTTTCCAGGGTTGTATGTCTTCGTCTGCTGCCCATGACGGTAGGTGTCTATATAATTTGTTGTTTTCGACACAGTAGTCTGGCCACCGACTCGGATTCTTCTCAATGTCTATTAGTTTTTCTCTAATCCATTTGTCTTCCGCTATCTCGGCACTTTGGGCCTCTTCGGTAGGTTGTCTTGACAGTGTATCGGCTACTACATTGAGTTTACCCTTCCGATATCGTACCTCAAATGAGTATGGTTGTAGTGCCAGTGCCCATCTCGCCACCCGTCCTGACGGACTCTCTATGGAGTTCAGCCACTTTAACGCCAGGTGATCCGTTATTACCACGAAGTGGTATCCTTCCAGGTACATCCTCATCTTGTGTATACCCCAGTGTATCGCGAGGCATTCTTTTTCTGTTGCTGAGTAGTTCATTTCCTCCTTCCTTAGTTTGCGGCTCGCATATGAGATGACGTGTTCTCCGTCGTCGTCTTCTTGCGTGAGTACTGCCCCTAAGCCGCAGTTGCTTGCATCTGTTTGCAATATGAATGTCTTTGTGAAATCTGGGCATGCGAGTACTGGTGCTTCTGTCAGTGCCTTTTTTAGTTCTTCTGTTGCTCTTCCGTGTTCTTCTGTCCACTCGAACTTCGCGTTCTTCTTTATCAACTCAAACAACGGCTTCGCGATTTCGGTGAATCTGGGTACGAACCTTCTGTACCATGAGGCGACTCCCAGGAAGCTGTGAACTTGTTTTGTCGTTGTCGGCTCGGGCAGGTCCTTGATTGCGGCTATTTTGTCGGGGTCTGTGTGTATCCCCCTTGCGCTTACTACGTGCCCTAGGTACTTCAACTTGTCCTGGAAGAAATGGCACTTTTCCGGGTTGATTCGTAAGTTCGCTTTCCGTAGCCTTGCCAGTACCTCCTGGAGCTTTTCCAGGTGTTCTCTCTTTGTTCTACCGATCACTACAATGTCGTCGAGGTAGGCGAACGCGAATGGTTCCATCTCCGGGCCTATCACTGAATCCAGTGCCCTTTGGAACGTTGCTGGTGCGGTGTGCAGACCGAATGGCATGACCTTCCATTGGAATAATCCTCGTCCCGGTACTGTAAATGCCGTGTACTGTTTGCTGTTTTCTTCCATGGGTATTTGCCAGTAGCCGTTCTTTAGGTCCAGTGTGCTGATATACTTTGCCTCTCTCAGTTGGTTAAGGATGTGGTCCATCCGTGGTACTGGGTATGCGTCTCGTTCCGAGTGCGTGTTCAACTGCCGGTAGTCAATACATAGCCTCCACTGGTTGTTCTTTTTTTTAACGAGCACTACCGGTGAGCTATAGGCTGAGTGCGAGGGTTCGATCAGGTCTTGTTGTAGGAGTTCCTCCACTAGGTCGTGAATTATCTTCTGCATTGCCGGGTTTTTCGGATAGTACCTTTGCTTCAGTGGTCTGTCGTGTTTCATGTATATCTTGTGTTTTGCAATATGACTTGTCCCGTGGATTTCACCCATCAGCTTTAGCTGCCTTTTTAGGAATTCCTCGACTTCTGCCTCTGTCGGTTCTGCTGCCGCTATTCCTACTTTCTGGTGTTTCTGCTGTTTTCCAGTCTG